TTATCTTATAAGTATCAGGAATGGGGCAGACAGTTACCTGCTTTTTAAACTACATTTAAAATGTGTGATGTATGAATGTGTGATGTTTACGACTTTGATTGTAGAATCCAATGAACCACTAACACAACATCCTACTTAATTATACACAGATTTCTGGAAGAATTAAGCCCCCAGAAGCGTATTCCAGCTAAGTCCTCCAGTTTGAGGCATGATTCATAGAGTTTCTGAAGTCATGCCTCAACTTTCTCCCTTGCTGGGTCCTTCTCTCATAATGTCTAAATGTTTAGTTTCGGAGAAAAGTAATTTTCTGTGTAATCATAAATAATTTCAGAAGTACATATCTTCATGACAAAAGTGGAATTTTGGCTAAATATCCCCTAAAAAACTCAGATTCAATGACATATGGCGGTAATATCTAATAAAAGAAAAATTTCCCATCTAAACTGTCAACCAAACTTGAGTTAGAATATACAGTATGGATAAGTCATGGTCCGTATTCCAAAGGTGCATTTGGCACATGGCAGAAACATCTTTGTCAGCCTCTGTTTCTCTTTGCCAAACATGGGCCAGCTGGCCCTGTGCCATATCACCTCCCTATCTCTTAACAACCCTATTGAACTTTTTCACATTTAGCTGCCCAGAAAAGCAGATAAGCAGGCAACTGTTCCACATGTTCAATTTATATTTTTCTTCAAGATAACAATATATTCACAGACAGCTTTTAGGACCCTTAAATAAAACTGGAGAAAAAAGTCACTCTACTGCTGCAGCCTGGGGGCAGCCCAGGGTTTGGAAATTCAGTGTGAATTATGTAGACAGAGTTTGAATTGAGGTTGTTTATTAGAGCCAAAGGCCAAACAAATTTTCAGTTGTATTCCATTTTAAAATGTTCCTAATCCAGCTACATGTATTTAATTAATGCCTATGTTGATCCCTATATTATCACAGCATGCGGGAGGAAGTAAGCAGGAGTCGGGGGTCTGATGTCCATCCACAACTCCTGGAAGTGGAGAAGTAATACAAGAATTGCGTTTGGACAATCAGCGCCAGGCTCCCTGTTAAACTTGGAAAGATCAGCAGTAGCACCTCTTAGCCCTGGGGGTAACACCTGCAGTGGATTAATGGTTTGACCAAATATTATAGATTAATTAAAGTGCAGAAATCATAATGAATAAAATGTACTGAAAATTGTACAGCTTTTCTTCAAGCAGGTGTTGCTTATTACAAGACTGAAGAATTAATGAAGTGTCAAAAATGTAATCCAAGAGTATCTATTTCTTAACAACTTTATTTTTGACACTAAATACTGTTGTAAAATGTACATATTGCACATCTTTGTTTATTTCTTGTTTATAAACTGGTATATTAGTGAACTAACTTGTACTAATAGTAAAAAGTAAGTTAAAAAGTAAACATTTTTAATACTTACATTATGCTCCACCAACAGTAACAATAGTCCCAGAGAAGCCACTGTTACTAATGCATCCTTTTGCATATAAAATATCAAACTTTTTCAAATATTATAAAGTCACTCTCCTGTGCATCCGTCTTCAACCGCTGCTTGTTCAGTTTGCCTGTCCATGTCCCCCTCTCTGTCTCTTCTCCTCTATCCATCTCATTTCATGCCGGAGTGGGGTTACCTAAGAGACTCGGCCTCAATAGAGAAAATCTCTTTTTCAGCAATTAACTGTGAAAGTGACAGAAGGAAAAGAAGGGAGGGATCCATGAAGGGGATCCAGACTCAGAGAAGAAAAGGAAAGAGGGCATGCATGGCAGGTAGAGCGACACAAAGTTAAAAACTGATATTTACGTTCAACTTTATCTTCAGACATTTAGAATAAAAATCCAAAAATGTGTTTGCTAAGCATAATTACAAAATAATCTTAGCTGAATCTTTCAGTTGCTGAATTTAAACTTGTGGTAAACATATTCTGTATGTTATTAGAGAGAATAATAGCATATCATACTATAATAAACTAATAAATACAGTAAAATGATATATTTTTATTCTGTATTATTATGTATTTGGTGAACATTGTTCACATACCTTTAATTAATGTAGAAGTTTCAGTTCTGTAGAATACTTGAACTGAGAATAGGCCAAACTGGGTTGCATTACACTGATCCCAGTGAAAGTGAATGATGTCTTACCATGGAGAGATGTACACAAAAGGGTGTGGCGTGGGAATGTCCCCAGGGGTCAGGAGTGAGGGTGAAAGGGTCAGAGGTCAGAGCCAGCTGGACAGAAGAGAAGAGGAGATGAAGGTGAGAAAAGGAGATGAGGGGGTAGCCCACAGATCACTGACTAAAACCAATGGGACATTAACATTGAACTGATGGGAGCCTCACTGACCAATGCCTATTCAGGGAGGAACTAAGCTATGACACACTCATGGGTAATGGTCTGTAATAATTGACATGTAAGTGACAAGGCCCTCACTGAGGATGCAAAATCAGTTATCAAAATGCAGCAGTGGATTACAATCTATATGTACTGGTATTCAGGGGTTACATTTAATTATATCCTTAAAACCAGATAATAGTGTTAACAAAATATTAAGGCCATTTCTTTTTGTAAAGAGGCCTAGAGGAATATATTAGACTATACGTAAGTATAATTTTACCATTAATTTGTGATTTGTTTTCCTACAGCAGTTATAAGACACTGTTACAGTACAGTACAGTTACAATATCAAGCACAACATAATTTATGCATTGTATCACTCTTCACAGTGTCTCGTTTTTCACTTCAAGGATCACTGACAATGAACAGTGAATTTGTATGTAGAATCACTTTCAAGAAAGTATTGAAAAGTGAAAAACAGCAGACAATGTACACAAGCATTGATGAAATTACTATGGATCAATATGTCTGATAACAATAAAGACAGTTTGTCATTAAGACAGACTTAAAAAAAACATTTGATCATGCAAAGTGGAAATGAAAGCAATGATTTCATTTCCACTTTGCATGTTCCATGTATCTCAAGGGTACAGACAGGATGGTAAACGTCTGTGAGCGGTGTCTTCCATGTGGTTGCTAGTGAAGGTCGGGTCACTGAGGGTAGCAGGCAGTCTGAACCAGGGCCATAGTCTGGGGGTCTAAAAAAGAAGAATCTTGGGGCCCAACCCAGGGGGTCAATATGCAAATAGTAACCCTGAGTGAAAGGCAGAGAGCAGATCAATGTTCTCACATTACTCTTGCTACCCATGACTGTGGATGTGCACGCCTACAGACCTCATGAGGTTTTTGTATTTAATGAAATGCAGACTCAACAATAGAGAAGACAGCTGTATTTAAACAAAAGTAGAAGCAGGACGTCATAATGATGAAGTTTATCACAGTCCACTGGTTTGATGTTACAACAGTCAAAAAGCGATTCTGAGTATTAACTGTACTGCAAAAATATCAGTATAAGCAGCCCAAATGTGTTATTTTTTGGATAGCATGGTAAAAACCACAACAGGTGCTGTCTGTCCTCCACAATCATCCAGTACATGCACAACTGATGAAATTCAAGTTTTCTGCAAGTCTACACGCTGCTGCCTCCCAGTGGACTCAATGGTCCCAGCAGCACCACAGTCATATTTTCCTTCCCCCATTCTGGTAACCTCAGGAAGTTAACCTGGTCCAGAATCAAAGGTTAAAGCTACAGGTGTAGTAGTTACATCTACATTCATTGCTGGAGGTTGCTGTGTTTCTGTCACGTGACATTTCTGTACTTGTATTGTTGAGCTCTGTGCTTGAGGTACTGTACATAATGCTAATGTTTTGTTGTCAGGTTAATGGCAGTTGTTGCTTATTTGGTGGCAGCATTAATAGTGTTTGATCGTTTTTAGAAGCAGTAACATGAAATGTTGCTATGACCTCTTGAGATCAAGTGTTTTGAAAAGCTGTCAGAGTTGTTGGCAATAGATCTGTTTTAAGAGTCTCTTGTGTTGTGTTGTGGTTGTTGGAATTGATTTCCTTGCTGTAGAAATAAGTAACAAATGAACACTGAGAGGAGGACAATGCACATACAAGTAGCCAACTACATTTAAATAGTAAGTTCTACATTTATACATGTAATATCAGAAAAATATAGAAGATAAAAAAATGATTCAATCCTGTAAACCAGAAATAAGAAACAGTCTGAGTCCTTTTTATGAGAGCAAATTTGTTTTTCAGCCATGATTATAGCAAAAAACAAAACAAAAGGTGAAAAAAAGTGCATATAAGTTAATATAATGTTGAATTACGACCAAATTCCGGCCCTAGCAGTACTTCAGGAGCAAAGACATTTTTCAAGTTACACATACAATACAGTAGATGATGAAAGAAATATAAAGATATGAAAACAGCTACACCTGCACATATTTTAACTTTTTAAACAATCACAGCAGGTGGGGACATACAGTATGGATGGTGGTTCAATCTTGGGCTGCTATTAAGTGTCCATGATCATGACAGTGAGAGATGTCTCTCCCCCCATTGTGTCTGTGAATTGGAGCTATAGATTTATATTTTTAAAAAACAATTGAAAATGTTATTCCACACAATCCATCCATTGAAAAATACAAATCAACCAATCTAAAAAGAAAAACTCAATGATATTTGAGGTCTGCTGGATCCTGTATACTAGAAAATGTTAGTTCTTTGGGGGCTATATCGTGTGATATTCATAAAAAGCTTTGAAAATGTATTGGAGTTTCCACTGATATTGAATTTATTTGGTGACAAAATAAGTATTCGAAACAAGAAAAGACAAAAAATAAATACTGCTAAGGCTATAAGAAATTCCAGGTCAGTTCTGTAAGTACTGCAGCTACTTCAGTTCTCAGCTGCAACACATTCTCCACCTTAGAAAGCAAGTGGGGGTTGAAAACAGACCACTGTTACTAATTTTAGATGATGGAAAATATTACCAAACAACATTACTGGGGCAAGAACAAATTGTACATTATGGTGTGTACCAGTCCTGAAACACTCCAGCTCATTTTGTAGGTGTGGACGTCCAAACTGTTGCTCGGTCTGGCTCTATTGTGCCATAATTAGGCTACCCAAAAAACCAAACAGCATTTCCATTTGAATACTGCAACTTAGTTTCCACAACCTTGTCATAACCAAAACAATAATATTTCATATTGTCCAGGTAGAGCACCTACACTTGTCTAATTTGCTGTCATTTTCTATTATTAATATATGTCTTGTTATTATGACCCTGTTTTAGGCATATAACTGTAGTGATGGTAGGACTCTAAACTACGTATCGACGTGCTCCAACCCACTGACGACACTTCCGCTTCGAAGCACTGTTTCCAGGCTTGTAACAAAGAGGCCATGTCACGTGATTGCTTCACATCATCTCATATTTCGGTAGTTTCACCGGTGATCTCGCGGTGACTCCTGGACAGTCTGAACATTTGCATTTACTGATTCTGGGTCAGTTGACACTTTTACTACCTGACAATCAAATAAGTTTGATCCTCTTATCCTTAGTCAGTGTTTCTGGTTACTCGTAGATCTCCTACAACGTCTCGCTAACAGAATGAAAGCTGCTAGATTGTTCTGGGTTTTTAATTAAGACATACACAGCCCATTTAATATTTGGAAAGACTGATCTGAAACATGGAGGGAGAGGAGCATTTTCATGTGGTGCAGCACAATTTAGTGAAACACACCACTTGTAACGAGAGTTTTTAATTTATGTTGTTTGTCTTGACCGCACTTGTAAAAAAGATCTTTAATCTCAGTGAGGTTTCACTGGTATAATAAAAGTAAAAAAAAAATAAATTAAAACGTGGCGTTTTGCAGCAATACATCATCTCTACTGAGACCCCTCAATTCTACGCATCTTGAAGATTTAAATAAAGGGTGGCTAGAGGGCAACCCGGAACATAGCGTCTTGTTTGTTTTTTTTTTAGTTGTGTTTAATTTATTTTGGCATATTCATTTAGCATATCCTGTTATTAAAATGACTTCTTCTATCTGCCTTATTACTGCCAGGTCTACAGTAGCATAAATTAAAGCCTAAAGCAGGAGAGACTTCAAGAAAACTGTTAACATACACTCCACTGAAAATAGTCACAGAAACACTCCACATCATGGAAGCCCATTTTCCATAAATACAGTTTTACAAATGAAATGTTAAATTTGGGACATACCTAGATGAAGCGGCCTATATGTATAGCCTTTACACCTTTTTATTATTGTCACACAATTTATTTACACACAACGATACTGTGAAAACGATACGTTTGCGTTTCTCAAATAGGTCGTCGTCTTTCTATTGTATTTTCACGCATTTAGCCAGCAGATATCGCTAGCGTGGGATGATTCAGATGTGTCAAAACAGCCAACCATTTTCGGAAGCAATTGGCTCAGTTGGTTAAAAGCGTCTTAAAGCCTCGTTTCTGCAACCACCAGTTAACAATTTGATGTGTGTGTACAGTATGTGTAGTAGAAGTAGTATGTGGAGGTAATTTAAATTCAGATCACCAAAATCTTCAAAAAAATTATGAAACACTCGATTTAAATGAAGCATATTTTTTTTTCAAATGAAAAAAAAAATTGGCTTGATTAAATCACCCATCAATCCGAGCAACTACTGCATTGATTGTCACGTGACAGTGCTATTATGGGTGGTCCCATGAGGCATTGTGGCTCAAGGGATACTGGCGCTGAGCTACTATGGCCTGTAAACAACAACATCGTCAAGTCGAAGTAAACTGGCTCGACGTATCGGTCTGTTGTCTGGCCGTTATCTGATTACAGCAAGTATAGTGAACGCGTTTTCAACAATGCGTCGATGGTGCATCTGGTAAGTAATTCTGATCCACCAAACATCCAGGAGCTATTTTGTCAACAACCGCTTCTCTAGGCTATCACGCTGAACCGTGCGTTTGACCAATGTTAGCTACATTAGCTACGTTAGTCGTAATTTCTGCTAACATGCTAATCTTAGCTAACTGCTCAGAAAACACTGCCCTAGTTGTGCGAATTAATTAAAATGGTGCGATGACTGTCGAGTTACCGAGCTCATATTAGTTTCATCTATACTTTTTATGACTAATGGTTGGGTTCTTATGTAACAGTTTTACGAAATTGAATATCAAAATGAAACCCCAGTCAACTTGTGGCACCCAAAGCTAATGTTGACGAGCTCATGTGGTCTGTGGACGTTTATGGATTTGCAGTTAATTAGGTAATGGTAAAATCAAAAACTGGGCAATATTTGTTGTGTGTTGTGGCCAGTAAAACAATGCGTTCATATTAATTCATGGAAATACTCATAGACAGTCAAACTTCGGTCTGCTGTTGCCGTTTGCTTAATGCCGTTCTCCACAGAGTTAATGTAAACGTTAGCTACTGCTTATCTTTAGCAACACTTAGCATACGTATAGCGGTGCATTGCCAATAACAGCCATCCAGTGTCAACAGACACCTAGTAATGTAAACAAATGCTAATGTATTTTATGCACTGTGTAGTTGGAACAAAGATTCTCGTACAACATCCAACAAACGTGTATTTTTCCTTTTAATTTGACCGCTATGATAAGGGCGAATCATGTAAGATCATTTGGATTTTGGCCTTCAATAAAATCATAGCTAACAAACGTGGTTCCAGTTTATTCATCCATCAAATTACTTTTTGTGTGTGACAGTTAATACACGTAATATGTATTTTCCTGGTTCAGGTTTTTAGATGGCCTGACGAATGTTACACAGTGAGAAATTCCTGACACAAATCCAAGTTGATGTCTTTAGACGTGTTTTGTACGAACAACAATCCCAAAGATATGCAATGAATTAATGAAAACATACACATATGTATGTATGTGTGTATGGCAGCTTTTTAAAAAACGACCAAAGCTTTTAATTGTTTGTAGTTGACAGTTAATTAGTAATCGGTAATTGCTCCAGCTCTACTTGGCATACACAGTCACAGCCAGTTACAGTTAAAGACTGGTGTTTACTTTAAGTATATTCAGTCAAAAAAAAGTAATGCAGCTAATGATTATATTTTTGTGTTGCCCTCAGATTTACAGTCAGGACATCATCCTCTTCATTTGGTAGCTTACTAGCCATGTCCTCACAGCAGCCCAACAGCTCAGCCTCCAACAGCCCCACCAACATCTTGGGTTCTCCTTTCTCAGTTATCAGTTCTCCAATTAACTCCCCAGTGATCTCACCGTCTCTTGGATTTGGACCCATCAGCAACAGTCAGGTTTGTACTGAAGAGATTAATCGACCTTAGTTCAAGGATGCTCGTGTTCACACAGGGTATAGAATACATGTTCGTTGCAGTGGATTTGCAATTACAATTACTACAATACCATTGCGATATTTATAGTGCATTAAATAGGCAAGCAGAGTGTATTTGGATAGCCAGTAATTTTTATCAGCTACTGAACAGAATCACTAGTTAGTAAAAATAAATAAATAAAACCAGTTTGCAATTTAATGTAGTTGACCAACAACATTACAGTGTTTTAATTGTTTTATTTGGTTGCACTGTGTATCCAGATCTCTTCTTCAACCCCCTTATCCGGAATGCACTCGATCAGCAGCTCAGAGGATATCAAGCCTCCGTTTGGCCTGAGGCCCATGCCAGCTCACAGCCCTGGAATAATGCTGTCTCAGAAGCGCGAGTGAGTGCACTATGAGCAGGATTAGCAGAAGTGCAGCATCAGTTGGAGGGGAGTTTTATTTTATGGCAAATTTAGTGTTTTTTATTTCCATACTGTCAGATCACCTTTTGAACAAAGTGGATCTCAGTCACAGTTGATAATAAAATACAAAATGTGAGTCCGACTGTTGCCTTCACTTTGAAGTTGTGATTGAGCTTCTCATCAGCGTCTAACTATACGTTTTTCTCATTTTCAGGCAAACACTATGGAGTGTACAGCTGTGAGGGTTGCAAAGGTTTCTTCAAACGAACTGTGCGCAAAGACCTGAGCTACACCTGCAGGGATAGCAAAGAGTGCCTGGTCGACAAACGCCAGCGCAATCGCTGTCAGTACTGCCGCTACCAAAAGTGCCTGGCCATGGGCATGAAGAGGGAAGGTAAGCAAGGTACAGGGTTCTTTTAGAGGTTTAAGTTCATACTCAGAGCCTGTTTGGTGTCTGACATGCAACTATACAAAGGTGACATATATCAGTTTTCTACAATTAAACATTGGCAGTTAGATTTTTTTTTTTTTAAGCTCATTTCAACTGACTAAGTAGTAATGCTTGCTTATATAAGCCAAAGGGTACAGATGGGTGTTTTGGGGCTGTTTATATAACTTAACCCCTTTCCATCTCTTCACTTCACTGTCTCCTATTCTACCCTTTCTCCATCTTTTAATAGTGTAAAAGATGAGGGATGGATGAGTATGACATTAAAATCTTAAAGATACTGTGTTTTAATGTTATTAACCTTTTGTGTCAAACACACAAAATGGGTGACTGGAGGATTTGTGTGAGAAGATGTACCCAAAAACAATGAGAGCATGCATTGCAGTGGTATATTGCCTTGTGATGGTAGACTGCTTTATAAAATAAGCAGCCAGACAGTTGTTGTTGTTTGCTTATTGTGTGTAACCAGTATTCAGGCAGTAACGAATACAACAGATTACGTTACCGAATGCGATCATGGACCACACTTTCAGTTTTAAGTATCTTAAGACCCTTTTCCACCGCCTGTACTGGCTCATCTTGACTCTACTCCGTTTTGGTACCATGCGCTTTGTTTTCCACTGCAGATAGTCCCCCCCACAGTGTAGCTTGTTGTCACAAACTGATGTGAAGTCACTGGCCCACAGTGTTGGCAGGACAGGCTCGAAGCTGTTATAATTTTAATCCTAGGACTGTTATTATGCCACTTTATTAAGTTTTGATAGTTTTTCAGGTGAGAAAATAACCATCTAGTTTTCAAATATGTGGTCGGTCTATCCAAGTAATGGCACTTACAAATTTGCTCAGACAATATTTGGAGATGTGATGACCCGCTAATGTGCCAGCTAGCTAGCTCTACTTAGCAAGCATAGCTGTGGCCATTATGCTCGTATTATCACATTCACTATAGGGTTGCAGCAGTATACTGGTTTTAGGGTATACCATGGTATGAAAATTGATGGTTATCATGCCATGCACATTTGCTTATTACCTGTATTGAAGGGAAAAAAAAACGCATTGCGTGTGCACCTTTCTTCTCTGACTGCCTGTCAGACTTTGCAGCAGGTGCCACATGCACACACGCAGAGGACAATTGGCAGACAGGAGGAGGCTGAAGTTACCAAACTCCATCCACCAAAAAAACAAATTAAAATCAGCAGTGCAGGATTACTTTGGATATCTCAAAAACAGGTCAAGCTATGGCTCCCATTTATAACTTTAATCCCAGACAATAAACGCTGATTATAAACTGCGCTGCTGAAATTATTTTCCACGTTGTCTGTTTGTTCACTAATCTCTGACTTGCAAAAGAACTCACACTGATCCTAATCTGAGCTCAGAAAAACACACAAAGCTTTCCGGCTCACTTACATGAGTGTGTGTGAGTGAAGGCACAGACAGGTCTGGCTGCACTCTTGCACACCTACAATAAATGAACTATTTTGATAATCATTTGATTAAATCAATGATTTGATAATCATTGTGATGGCATGTCTCACTGTTGTCAGAGGTTTAACAAACCAGTCAGTCAGTTAATGGGGAAAATAATCAGCAGGTTAATCTGTAATGGAAATAATCAGTAATTGTGTAATACTGTATACCATAATACGGTGACACCATGATATTTTCTGAGATGGTCATCATAACGTAACAGTCAAGTCCTGTTTTTACATCAGTGCACGAGTGACAGGCTGTTAATGTAATAATATTCTGTGTAGTATAACATTTTTCTGCATTGAGTAGCCAACTAATACATTAAGTACATTTCTGTGTAAATACTTAACATTATTAATACAGGAGTTTTGTAACAGTAGGCTACTTTTACAGTGTGAGATTAATAGTTAAGTAAAGGATGTGAATACTTGATCTACTAGCATGCAAACTAACATGCCTTAGCTATATAACATGTTATGTGCTGTTTTTTATCATATTTGATGTCACTTTATTCTTCAGGGTCAGTCTAGTGTTGCAATCCAGTTCAGTCAACTGGCACAGTCACTTGCAATAATAACAGACCCCTTTTTTCATTCTTCTGAGGGTTGTTGCAGCTGAGAATAATAGTAACTAGTAATGGTAATACAGTTAAGCTATGATATTTTCTGAGACTGTTATCATACTGTGAAAATCTCATACTGTTGCAGTCCTAATTCAGTAACCTGTGAGCTATGAGATAAGATGTACAATGTAGTGGTTCATGTAATATAACAGTTATATTATAGAGTAACAGAGACTCGAGGCCCCCGTCACCGTAACTTTTACCCTCTATAACACTCGTGAGAGAGAAGTGGCAGCACACATGTAAACATCCAGGTTGATCGGTGGCGAGATCACCCTGCAGCAATGATGACTTTCCCTGACCAGTCGGTAGTCTCCAGTGTTTACTTGTCACTGTTTGGTTATCGCCTCAGCTCACTTGGAACCTCAACAGAGCTGCTACCAAAAATAGTATCAAGTACTATCCCAAACATCTGACTGATAAATAAGTCGAGTTGAGCTGGTACCAGGTGCTGGAAAAGGGGCTTTAAATGTGTACTGTATAGGTCACGTGTATTATGAGAGGTGAAGCCTCTCCATTAGATTCATGCAATTCTAACTGTGGCTGCATATTTAGGCACATAAAATCCAGAAGCTCTGATCCCATCACCAGTTAAATCACCTTCTGTGGTAGTTTATCATGTCTCTCTTGGCAGACTGACTGATCTGCCAGTGTTGGTATTTTGAAAGAGGTTCTCATGTTTGTTTGTTTGTTTTTTTTTTTTAAACTCCTGTTTGTTAAATGGAAGTCATAATATGGCGGTGGCACTTCTTTGGTTTAAACAACAGCTGCTTTTCTTCAGTCAGTGTGAGATCTGTCTCCTTTTGGTTTGCTATAGATAACAGCAGTTAAAAAGTGAGTCTGTTAAGTTTTAACAAACTGCATAGATCAGTTGTCCCCATGGTTCTTTGAGCTGGTTAGGACAACACCTCTCTGGATGTGTTGCCACATCAGTAAGGGTCAGAGAAATAGTGGATATTTAGATTCATTGTTATTCTAACAATTGAGTATTTGTGAAATATTAATAACTTGAGGGCATATTAATAACAAGGTCATGCATGTAACTCCAACTTGACAGATACTGTACTTCTGTTAATAATGGAAGTAAGTTCATCAGTCTTTTGTCATGATGGATAGTAGTTATTATGCTATTGTGAATGCAGTGTACTTGTGTAATTTCATTTTTGTCAGGACAACAGACAATTTGAACAGACTTTTCTCAGTGCCCCAGAATCCCTGCTAAGAGGCAGATCATTCTTTAACCCATAAAGTAATGGATTTATATTTTTCTTTTCCCCGAGTCTCATCATTCTTCAGTATTTGCCATCATCCCATTCTTTTTGTGTGACACAGCTGTCCAGGAGGAGCGCCAGAGGAACCGAGAGCATGAAGGAGAGATGGAGTTCAGTGTTGGAGCGAACGAGGAGATGCCTGTGGAGAAGATCTTGGAGGCAGAGACAGCAGTGGAGCAGAAGGCTGAGCTGCACTCTGATGGAGGCTTTGCAGGCAACTCTGTGAGTGTTTGGAGCCATCAGTAGAAGTAACTCTGTCGACTGTTTTTCACAGTACCATAGTGGGTGTGGGCTCCAGTTTAACTAGATTAAAATGTACTTTGCACAGGCTTACTGTGATTACAAGTTGTTAGTTTGGCCATGTCTCTAAGAAGTCACGATGTTATATTGTTTGGTTTCAGCCCCATGACGCTGTTAGCAGCATTTGTCAGACTGCAGACAAACAGCTGTTTGCCTTGGTGGAGTGGGCAAAGAGAATTCCTCACTTCTCTGAACTGCCCCTTGATGACCAGGTCATCCTTCTGCATGCAGGTATGATCAATCTGCAGTCATGAATAGTCTGTGTAAAACCATGCCAGAATCAACAAAAGGATGTAAATTAGATCCACATCATGTCTTTGCAAAGGCAAATTATGAATGTTGCGATATTACAAAGTAGACACTTAAAAGAGCACAAAGGCCAATGATATTTTCTGAAATGTTCTGCCTGTATGTTTTCAGAATATGGTTTTCTTATACACTGAGTTCACTGTGTATGGAATTGTTCATTGAATTTTGCTTGCACCCTAAACTCTAAAACACCATGTTAAAATTTAGAACACAAGGGAATATTTATATCCTAGAAAAACAGATTTGCTAGCAGAGTTAAAAGGGTTTCTTTTACTGCCCACTGCATCAAATCTTAAAAAAAAACAACAACTACAAAACAATTTATATAACATCTGTGAAAACCACAAATTATGCTAATATCATACGTAGCCTTAATGTTGGTGTATATGCAAGCATAGATTCAGTAAAAAATTCAAAACTAAATTACTTGTAATTTAATTCACAGTACAATACATTTGAAAATGGCTGCTGAAAATCCAACTGCCAGTAAGTTTGGTTTGTGCGAGTTTGTTGCACCGGTACACTGGGTCAGACAGAACAATGCTTTCTTACAACTGGGCCCCATTCTTTGTTGATTAACAGGTTAACCGGAGAATGCTGATCTTGGATTTGTTGGGTCTTCTGAGGTCTTGTTGAACTTGTCATAGCAACATGTGGGCAATCCCAAACCAACTCTTGAGCAGTTACTGTTAATGCTGGCAGTTAATGCTGGACTGTTTGATGTTATCTGCATTGGCCACATTACATTACTGTTGTTTAGCTGTTTGCTAGCTAACAAGTCAGTATTTGCCATTTGTGTTTACAGTGAGCTGATCAGTATCTCTACCTCATTCACACCAGTTAGATAACTTGGAAACATTATTAGCAATGTTTGTCTCTGGAAAACCTTAACATTATATACCAGGGCAATTTGGCTTTAATTGCAGTTGTGGGTCCACATGTTGAAGTGTCCTTGGGCAAGACACTGAACCCCCAAGTTGTCCCCGATGGTTAGAACCATCGATGTGAGTTAGCACCGTAGATGGCTGCCTTGGTTCTATACTGTACCAGAAACAAATTCTTTATGTGTGTAACATACTTAGCCAAATAAAGGTGACTATTATTATTTATAACTAATGTGGCGGTATGAAAAGAGAACACTGAGCAACACATAGACAAGACAGCACGCAGCATCTCTCCTCTCTTCTCATCTCCTGCACAGACAGGAGTGAGTTACTATGGTTACAGGTGACTTTATTTCTGTCAGACTGACTCATGATTCCCAGATGTTTTCAGGTTAGTAGCCTATGCAAAATCATGAATGCAATTGTACCTCACTGCTGAAATCTTGTATTGTAACATAATGTTGCCTTTTTGATTTTTGCTTTACATTTATACACTGTGTATACACGGTAGCTCTCGCACTGCTCAAACAAACGTCATGGCTGTGTGTGCACTTGAAAGGGGGAAACAAAAAGGCATCCATTGGCAAACCTACATTTTATGAGTCTTGTTCTTTAGGTTCAACTAGCAAATAATACAAATGAATGAATGAATAATGTTACCAGTTTTCTACTGATTAAGAAAAATTGATAAATCATGTATTTTCTGTAAAAATCAAATAAGTATACTTTAGGCTATACACAGTATAACAAAAGTTGTACATTTCTATTTGCAAATTGCTTCAAATCTCATTTACTTGAGCTTAAGCAAATATTGTCTAATATTTGCATAATGTCACTGAATGATAGAAAATAATAATATGCATTATTAATGTAGGAAACGACTTCTATCGAATTTTAGGATGAATCTGGGAGAATTGTGAAAATAGTTAAGAGCCCTGCCAACCCATTCTTAATTGAACTGTTTCGTTTAAGTCGAGAGGGAATAATTTATTTAACTGGACTGTTGGCGCCTCATATTAGGGGCCAGACAAAGGTGAGCCATGCTCTTAGCACCACACAGCTGGTGTGCATTGCACACTGGCAAGCAGCAGTTTCTTATGCACGATTAGTAGTGTGGAAAATTTAGGAAAGGCCTGTGTACCTGGCTCTGAACCAATTCCTCAGAGCTTTCTTAGTCTTATTCCTGTGTGCCTCTCAGTTTGCATACAGTACTCTTGTACTTTGACCTGGTCATTCATTATATAGTTTGACTTTAAGAACTACTGAAGTGTTTTCTGCTGCTACCCTGACTTTCCAGTGTTCAACTGTATTTAATTTGTCAGGGTGGAATGAGCTCCTCATTGCCTCGTTCTCCCATCGATCCATTGCTTTAAAGGATGGAGTAGTTCTTGCCTCTGAGCTGCAGCGTGACACGGCACACAGAGCGGGAGTTGGAGCCATTTTTGACAGGTACATTGGTAGATGATTGTAATGCCATTGTCTGAAGCTTTATCTACATGTAGTGTCTTTAATTAGAACTTGTTTTTAAACACAGAGAGAGCGTGCAGAATGCAGAGGTCGGAGCCATATTTGACAGGTAATTTTATACTTTTGTAATGTCATCTTTTATTCCTTAAAAATCACCCCAATTATGCTCTTTTGTATTTTACAGACTGAAACCTTTTGAAAAGTATTTCTCAACATTTGTCATTATTCAGGGTTCTTACTGAGCTGGTCAATAAAATGAGAGATATGCAAATGGATAAAACAGAGCTTGGGTGCCTCAGAGCCATCGTCCTCTTCAACCCAGGTGCATGACAGTACAGGACAGTGTGCTCATATCTGTGAAATTTTTTTTTTTTAACAACATTAGGATGTAATACGTGTTTGGCTCTTAATCAAAGTACTTATTCATTTTTCTTCCAGATGCTAAAGGGCTTTCTAACACCAGTGAGGTGGAGCTCCTTAGAGAAAAAGTCTATGCATCTTTGGAAGCCTACTGCAAACAGAAATACCCAGACCAACAGGGAAGGTAAATGTCTGCAACTTTGACA